TTTTGAGGGGCAGGCCCCACCCCCGCCCCCCCCACCCCCGCCCCATCCCATCCCATCCCATCCCGGGGGCTGCGCATGTCTGAGCATCCGGGGGTACCCGCGCAATGTCTCCGCATCCCTGCGGGAGGCTGGGAAGGATGAAGGGGGAAGGGGAGGATGCGATCCAGCCCTGGCCTCTTCCTCGCTTTTCCCTCCCCGTGTTGTTTACGGCAGAGGGTGAAGAGGGGCTGGATCCCATAAAGCCGCGTGGGCAGAGCGGAAGGCAGGATTTGGCCTCCAACCTTTGCTTCCTCCTCCTCCTCCTCCTCTCCGCTGGGAGCAGGGCTGGCGCAGCGGGAGCACCGTAACTCCGGGTCCGATGCTCCCGGCAAAGGGCAAGGAGAAAAGGAAAAAAAGCCCGGCGAGCTGCGGGCCAGATCCTGTTTTCAGGCAAACAGCCTCCCGGCTAATGAGCGGGGAGGAATGCAGGGCCGGAGCCAGGCAGGATTCTTTCGAAACCGAGCTGTAAAAATAAATGGAAGGAGGGGGAAAAACTGGTGTCAGAGCATCGGCCGCCTCTGGGAAGGGGAGATGTTTTCCCAGCCCCAGCCCCCAGCACCGCACGCCCTTCCCGCACCCCGATCCGCCACCTCCCGGGCTGCTCCTGACCCCCATCCATGGGGTGACATGGAACATTTGCCGGGCAGGGGGGGGCTTGGCTGTGACAGTACACACCGCCCCACATTAACCTCGCACCCCTCCAAGCAGCCCGGACCCCCAAACCCGCCGCTAAACACGAGGCTGATTGCCCAGGGATGGGGCGGGAAAAGAGCTGGGGAGGTCAGATTCCAGAGGGAAAAGGCTCCTGGTCTTTCCCTGCCTGGAGGAGAGGGATGGGGATCGATGGGCACGGGGAGATGGCAGCCCGGGAGCGTGCGGATCCCTCCCTGAATCACTCTGCACCCCTGGCTGGGGGGGATCAGGGTGGTACCCCAGCACGGAGGGCGATGGGACCCACACCGGTGCCGGCCTGCGCCAGGGGAAGGGGGCCGGAGGGTCGCGGGGATCCATCAGCCTCTCACCCTTCCCCCTGCCTCGCCAGGTGCCTGCG